AGAGACATGACAGGAATACAGGCACAGGACGACACAGCCACAACCCTTCCCACCCGACATACAACCACATATCTTCACCTACCTTCTTACTGAAACCTACCTAAACTCTGACCTCACCGATGACAGCACTGCAGGAGATTCCACCTGTGCCATAAATGACACGTCTCAGACTACAAGGCTGCCGCCGGGCTGTGCCTACACACCAGGTCGAATAGATTATGTGCATGTAAACCTTTAATTTGAAAGATACTGCCGTTATGAAACACTCATCCTTGGAAAACATTAAGGAACAGTCTTGCAGACACCAACGCTTCAGGCCTCGGGCGTAATCTGTTTCTCGCCTCTATTTGCATACTGCCTCCAAGTTGTTGAGCCAATAGATAAATCTAACCATTTTCTGCTTAACTGGAATGATTATATACATGAAAGACACACCATATTTCTGTCATCACTCCTATATGGGAAAATTTCATGAGAATATGTCAAACTGGGTCACATTTCACCCCAAAATATTTTTTATTAAACATGATTACAAGCATAAATACTAATTTACTTTGTTCTAAATAAATAGTTTAAAAGCACTCCAAATAGTTTGTTATAAATCACTTTATTTTTATATACACAGTGGGTACGGAAAGTATTCAGACCCCCTTAAATTTTTCACTCTTTGTTATATTGCAGCCATTTGCTAAAAAAAAAAACTAGCCCTATAGCCTTTTTTATGCAAAATGTGTTTGAATATAGTTAGAGATTATAAACTTTTTTTTTTTTTATTAAATGTATATATATTTTAAGGACCTTTTTAACATCTATTAAATCACCGCATTGATGCAGAAAAACTTATTTGTAAATAACTTCATAAGCTACATTTTAAAATTATAATATGGAAATAATGTCATAAATCAAAGGTTGAAAAAATAGCCTTAATTAAAGTATACTTTGCTATACAACTTATTAAAAATATAAATATATTACGGAAATAATGCAAAAGCAATTGTAAAAAAAACAGCATTCACATAATCTTTACGCAAATTTACTATTAATATTACATTTATGTACACAATTATATAAATCTATTTTTATTTTTGCAGTGGCTGTAAAAATAGCCTTCATTTTCTTTGTGCAAAATTACTTGAAGAGTTTGGGGGTGAAGAGTTACCTGGACATGTTCTCAATGGGCTTTGCGATGTTCACTCATTTATGGACAATTTCTAGTCATTTTTAAAAAGCATTTTCTGCATTTGTAACAGTTGAGAAGCACATGAAATTGAGGCAAAAAAGGAAGAAGATCACAACATGACGCAAAACTGATTCAAACATGAGCACATGCACTACCAACTATGCCATGGCTCTGACAAAGTGAGTGACTTTCGATTTGAAACATCAATCCGCACAACATGAGTAAAGAACAGACAACAGAAGCCCACGCCAGGTTTCTTAACTATGAGATTGAGCAGCGCAGAATGTGGGTTGACTGGGTGCTAAAGTTAGCGTTCTTGCACTTGCCTGCAAGCCAGTCTGCACATGATATTTATAACCCTAGCCATACTGCTACTACAGTCACTGGAACCAGCACACCATGTCCCTCCCTGGATAAACACAGCAGTGCGCTGAAAGTGAGGTCACTACCTGTTGCAGCACAGATGCGGTGAAACTGTCCCGAATGGGGACGAATCGCATGATCCCAATCAGGTCCCAGTGCTACCTTCAAGCATGAGTCACATGCTTTTAATCTTCTACAAAGCATTAAGTTCTGCAATTAATATGAAAATGAGCAGTAAATACAACATTTTGCGCGAGTAAAAACAATAAAACCTAATTGTAGCTCAGTCAAAACATTGCCGTGAGTAAACTACACTACATAGGGGATGCAGCTGTCTATTTCCTCCTCCTAGAGCCTGCGTGTGAAATTAGGGTTATGCTGGGGTGACCAAAACACTGCCTGAACCAACTTTTGCTGACATATTGACGTCTAAATAAACATATAAACCACGTGACTCCAATCTTATATATCTCTAAAGTGAAGCTGAGGATTGGCAAGTCTAAAGTTACAAAAATAAAAGGGCAATTGTTCGATTCAAAGGCCTGCAGTGCAACACTCTCGTGCATTTAAACAGGGGAACGCAATAAAAGTGTAATTAATCATTCCGTACTAGCGAAACAACTGAGCAACAACCAGCCAAGCCGCTTGTTAAATCCTCAGGTTTCTCTAGTAAATGTAAATGGTACATCCACAACAACAACTTAAAAAAAATACACTTCAGTTTTCATAATAAAAAAATGGAAAAGCAAACAAGCCACATATGAGAATATGTGATATTAATATATCAATATCAATATCAAATTGTCAGATGACAGCTCATCACTGAGATATGTAATGACAAACTGTGCCTAACACATTTTTACACAACGCATAAAAAAAAAAAAAAAAACGAATAAAGTTTGTGAGGTTATCACAGAGAAGTTATCAAATATTTGACTTATTTTTATAATAGTCAAACAAGTCCTTTAGTATAGCCTATCTTTCAGATTTTTAAATATACAAATGTATAGTTATACTAAAAAGATACTTTTTTTTTTTTTTTTTTACATTTTGCATCAATACATCATATTATTATGTCTTTTGATAAATGCCTCCACCCACATCGATGTATTGATAATGCACAGATGTAGGCTACAAGTTCAGCTCAATTTAGACCCAGCTTGTGGAACAGCGTCATCATCATAAACCTATTTCCTTCCTTATAATCTGAAACTGAATGCTGTAAAAATATGTAATATAACATTATTAATATGACATAGGCATAATGAAAGAATTGCAAATTTTGTAAACGCTAAACTACTTGAAAAATGCAATTAACTAAGTGAACACATGAAAAAAAACTAAATAAATATTATATCAGTCACATCACCAAGTGAATTTGCTGCAGAAGAGACTGAATCAACGCATAGATTTGATGCCAGCCACAAAATGCAGAAAGCATCTTCTCTTCTACTTGAAAAGTTAGATATTTTATAAGCCATCCAACAAACTACATACAACTATACTGTTAGTTGCAACCAATTCCACTTGCTAGAACAGACCTGTGACCCATTTTTTGTGAAAACGCAAATTCTCATTTCTTGATGCAATCATCAAACCAAGCACAATTTCGAGAGCTAGTAGAAGATGTACATATTAATTTATATACCAAATGCCTCCAGCACAACTCAACCTGTGCGTCTTTTATAACGAGTTTAAAAGCAAATGCCATTCGCTATGAACTCACTGCCTGCTGGTCACATGCTAAAACTCTCCATTCCCTCACATGCCCACATACATAAACACACACAGCAGACCCAATAGAGAAAGGAGCCTCTCCAGTCATGGTTAGGTCTCAAGAGCTGCATCCAAATTCTTTCCTCCCCCTGTCTGAACACCGGCCCAAAAAAAGGCAAGTGATTTTAAATGCATGAGCCTGTACAGACAACCTCCTGCAGTCACTTACAGCCACATCAAACCCAGAAGACTCATTGCAGGGCTTTAGATATTACGGTTTTCAATGTCAAAAGCCACTTTTTCCAGTTCAAATTGCATGATACTTATAGAGTAGACTTTTGTGACATCTAGAACAGTTACTTTAATGCTCTTTGACTTTGAATTACACAATAAGCTTTGCAATGTTTTACCCTTAACATCTGAATAAACATGTTTATTGTGTCTATGATGCCCAAAAATGTTGCTTAAATAGAAATCTAAATATGAAACACAATATTAAGCACAAAATGTAGTTTTATACTACCTTTCCTATTTTCCTAGACAAATTCAATTGATAAATTGACAGAAATTTCCTCCGCTTGCAACCACACTTCTATCTTTGCCACACATACTTTTTTTTGCAAAAAACCATTAGCGCGTTAAGCGATTATTAATGGAAAAACTAAACTAAAGTGACATCTTTCACGGATGTTTACAATCAAGCCAAGGAAACTACGTCTTAAAGCGACAGTTCACTAAAAAATGTATGGAAAATTGTGTCAGGATTTACTTGAATTCATTATGTTTCGAAACGTACTGACTTACTTTCTCATGTGGATCGCCAATGTGGATGACAAGAATTATTTTGAGAACTGACAGCGCAAGTCGCCATTGTATGAAAAAGACGCTTTGAAAGTGAATGGTGACTGGAGCGGTCATTCTGCCAAATAATATCATCTTTGAAGTTTCACACGAGTAAATCAGTCATACGGGTTTGTTACAACATGAAAGAGTATATTATGACAGCATTTTAGTTTTTCGAACTTATTATTCGTTATAAACTGCGCGACTTTGACCTTTTTCGCGCTCGCTCGTCGTCTCGTTTTATATAATAATTCACCCTGCCACACAGAAACCATATTACACGGAATCTTCCCCCATAAATGCCACATTTTCAGTCAATAATCTCAAACGCAACATACGTGTCAACTAGGTAACGTTAACTTAGCCTATTTCAAAATACACAGCCGTGCTAACTGGTTGCTATGCACTTTAACAACGTAATTTCAATGGTGACCAGCGGATCAAAACACATTTACGAGTCTGCTCCGTGATTCCATACATAACAAAACCCATGCACATTCACCCGATGAGTTTATAAACAGATTCAACTGTTATTGTGCTGTAACGTTATATCTACTAACATTTAGAGGCTAACAGGCTAACCATCAGCTAACACACACACACACACCCGAGAATCAGTCAGGCAGTCCTCTTCCTGCCTTCACAAACTCATTTACACACAAATACAATTATTCCGGCTTCATTGATCCAGCACAGTGCGCATAAAAAGCTAATATCCGTTTCAATCAGAGCCCGATTAGCTTCAGCGGCTACGTGGTTCCGCAAAACGGCCCGACGAAGATGGTGATGATGATGATGGTGGTGGTGGTGCCTGGCTGAGTAAACACAGCCAGCCAGCAAACCGTCCTGAGACACGGATCTGTGCACACCAGCCGCCGCTGAGCCGCTCTTAACTCACCTGGTGCAGCGCGGTGAGTCCGTCTACATTGGCGTAGTTGATGTCCGCGCAGCGGTCGAGCATTCGCAGCACCTCCTCCGTGTCGCCGCTGGAGCAGGCGGCCAGAAACACGGCGCCATCGTCGAACTTCACCTTCGTCTTCTTCTTCTTCAGGACGGGCGGCTCGAGATCCGTCTCCGAGCCTATCCAGCGCTTCAACTGTTCGTTCCTTTTCTGCTTGGCGTCCGCCATCTTCATCCCCTCTAGCCTGGCGCTTCTTATCTGTCTCGGATGGACGATATACTTTATACTGCCACTATCCCGACACAGCGCGCTGGGGCGTGGGAGGGGACAGCGCGGGAGGGGGGTTAGGCTCAGAACCTGCTTGACGCCGAAATATCGCGAGAGCGAGCGACGTCAGCCCCGGATCTGCAGCATAACGTCATCTTTATGGGGCAGCAGAGAGAAAATGCACAACAGCAGTTGACTACATACAACGGTGTTGTTTAGGGTAGACATGGAACATGGGAAAGTGAAAGCATATAGTATTAAATATGAGATTAAATAAAAAAAATAAATAAATAAAAGATGTGTTTTTGCTGAGCTATATTAGAGTATCTTACTACATGCAAACAAAAAAATGGATTTGTATATGCAAAAGTAATTGCAGGGGTTGGAAATGCACCAAAATATGTTTGTTCATTAACTCGGACCTTTAAAACGCCTTTACGACTGAAATGGAAACCCCTGCAGTTAATAAGAGTGAGCTCTTCCATTCATATGAGCTGTGATTTATGCAATATTTTAATGCACTCATATAGGACAGAAATATTACATAGCAATGACAAACGAAGTGAAGTGAAGCATATGCCCACCATGTGTTAATTTTCTTGCTTGTTAATGTTTACATGTGCAGATATGTTCCTCAGACTTAGTGCTTTTATTCAGAAGCACTTTTATTCTTTTTTTTTTTTTTTTTTTTTTTTTTTTTTGTACAGTGATGGCAATATCATGGCACTATGGAACTGAATTATTATTATATTAATATACTATGGTATTTATATGGTACTCCAAAGAATACAGTGATGCAATACAGTGAGCAAACGTTTAATAAAAGCCTATAATTAACCAGCGAATATATATATACATTTTTTACCAGTATGTGTGTTCCCTGGGAATCGAACCCACAACCTTTGCGCTGCTAACGCAATGCTCTACCACTGAGCCATATACATAGAACGTGTGTGTGTGTGTGTGTGTGTGTGCGTGCGTGCGTGCACGTTTTTGTGCGTTTTTGCATTTTATGGTTTTATTGTCAGTATTAATTTAATTCATCTTGTTTTTATATTAAATATGTTTATAACACACTTTCAGTTGCAAGTTACGCACTGAAGAAAATACTAATACAAACTGAAATTATTATTATTACTAGTGCATTCATAACAAATAATCAGTATAATCTATCAATTATTTGGATATTTGAATTTATTTTTGATCCTTTTTGAGCATATGTTCAGAAAGTAAAAAGATGATATTCATATTAAATATTTATGGTGTATTGTGAAGGTACAGATTGCAATATCAAAACTGCTTTCTATTGTATTCTACTTCTGTCATATTTAATGTCCCCACAGATTCAAATTATCATCGTTTTTACTTTCTTTTATGGATTTTTTTACATTTTTTTATCTTTTTATATATCATGGGGAGAACTTCGCTTTTGTGGAAAAAGTTTGTTAGATTGTGATAACAGAAATTACTGACTACTTAAAAAGCAGATGATTAACAGAAACAGGAAAAAACTGACTACTTAAAAAGCTAATTGTACCCCTTGAAGGCTTCTAAAAGTATCCTCATCTGGGTAATTGAGCTGACAGGAACCTTTTGACTGGGGTGGTCCTGCTCTACCGGGCCAGTAAAGAGTGTTATTTTTCTTTTGGCACTGTGGTGCGTTATTGTTGGCACAGGCCCATGTATGTGTGGTTTGTGCAGGTTGCAGGTAACTGGCAGGCTATTTCAGATGTTTTCCATCTCTCTTACTAACTATAATCACCATGATGAGCTTTATGACTTGAAGTGCAAGAAGTGTCAATGTAATTGCCCAACTAATTTAAGTGGGAGACGATCCAAGTATGTACGTCATCACGGATTCGTGCAACGATTGAGAATAGCGTAAAATTTATGTCTTGGTTTATTATGGTACAGGCATGATGTCTAATTAGAGGGAAAATGTGTAAAAAAATTTGTAAATATGTGTTAAATATTCTAGATCCCTTAACCAAACATAACTACTATGACTAACTTACTATCAATGAGCAGCAAATTAAATTTCACTTTCACTTTCAATAGGAGTTTATTGAGGGAAAATAATAATGAATATGTGTTCCCTAATCGAAAGTGTTACCAGAGATTTTCTTTGCTGCTGTGTTTTCATTTGGACTTTTCAAGACAGGAGTCTTACTTTAATGGATTGCAATGCAATCAGTGCATGAATCAGCTGCTGGCAAGTCTCTGTGTGTGTGTGTGTGTGTGTGTGTGTGTGTGTGGATCATCATAGTTGATTAGAAAATCATCTCTGGGCCAGAAACACTCTCACTGGGTGCTGGACACGTCAGGTCCATTATTTACTGGTGCACCAAAATCAACTGGCTATTCGAGAACCATGAGGAATCATGCCTGTGATGTCAGTCATTTGAATTTAATATAAATTATCCATAATGCAATATCCGTATATGAAATTTGAACAAACTCAGACAAACAGGTTAAAGTCAAAGATTGTTACTCATAAAAAGGCTCACATTTTTTAGTCATTAGATCATTCCTACAGCTTAACAGTAAAGCCAAAGCAAAGTTTTTTATTATACAACAAACTATCTCATTGTTTCCAATAAACCGTCGATCAAAAGAACAATCCAGCAAATTTTAACCACACAATGAGGGGAATTGGCCTCTGCTGTTGAGCAGGTGGAGAACTTTGATATCCATCTGTGTACACGATCTGCCAGCCTTCGCCATCCTCCATTCTTATCCATGAGTCCTGATTTAAGGGAGCATTCAAGTTTCAATACAAACTCATTTAGCGGCATTTGTGGTATAATTAATACAAAAATTTCAACCCATCCTTTTATTTATTTATCTATTTACCACTGATGTCACATGGACTTTTTAACGATGTCCTTACTACCCCAGTCAACACGTGAGATCATGCGATGATCACAGTGACATCACACGATCCTCATACTGTGATCCTCACGGTGTGAGTAATAGGTGAAATCATTGTGAGTTCACACGATCCTCATACTGTGATCCTCACGGTGTGAGTAATAGGTGAAATCATTGTGAGTTCACACGATCCTCATACTGTGATCCTCACGGTGTGAGTAGTATATGAAAACATTGTGAGTTCAAACGATCCTCATACTGTGACCCTCACAGTGTGAGTAATAGGGGAGCTCATTGTGAACTCAAACTATCCTCAGTTGGTGTTTACAGTCAGCATTTAAAATCTTAAGTTTTTTCAGTTCAGTCTTAGAATGATTCATTTAGTCGTTAAGTGTGTCCCTGGCTTTAGGTTGCATATCAGTATTTATGATTTGTAATACTTCCCAAATCAGATCATTACTAGACTACATCTTTCTGGGTCTTGAACGTGGTAGTTGCGTTGCTGTCAATGCAGGGTCAGAAAGCTCTCGGATTTCATCAAAAATGTTTTAACTTGTGTTCCGAAGAAGAATGAAGGTCTTACGGGTTTGAAAAGACACGAGGTGGAGTAATTAATGACATAAATTTCATTTTTGGGTGAACTATCCCTTTATCCATGGTGAGTCCATCCCTTGATGTTTCATCTCATTTTGAACCTGAGGTTTCTCTATAACCATGCAAACAATTGTATAACATTGGTCATATTGACTGTCATGTGACACAACTACATCTCCCCATCTCCCCATTCTTCTCCTGATGCAGTTGTTTGGGTGTATAACCTTGCGAATATGTGAACTGTAATTACGTAATTGGCCTATTAAGCTGGGAGTAGGCCTGATGTGTAACTAGTAGAACAGTACAAACACTGTCTGTGCACTGGATTTGATTGTTTACTGGTGTGTTGACTCACAAAATTAGTCGAACTGACAACACAGACCAGCAAAGCAAGCCACTATAATGCACATCTCCCAGGGTTTTCACTAGTTTTGATCAATGAATTTCCATGACTTCCACATTTCCATGCCTAATACATTGACTCTTTCATTCTGAAAATGCCACTACTGTGGTTTTGTCAAATGTGGCAAATGTGTGATCATGTGGTTTCATTGTTTGATAGGAACAAGCGATCAAAAAGTGTGATGAAAACATTTAAATATAATCCACACAAACAAAGTTCAAGGGATGAAAATTAATTGACAATCTGAGAATTCTGAGAATTAGATTAGAACAGTATTTATGTAATTATATTACTTGAAAACAAGATTAGCCTGAAAATGTGAATCCTAAAATAGGCAGGGATTAGTGGCATGTCATTGTCTCTAACTGGTCAAGCAAGATACTGTAAGTTACATTTTTTTTTTTCAATGCAATGTAACACAGAGATGAAATATTATTGGACAGAGCATAATAAATATAAATGCAGAAACTATGAAAAAAATAATGACATGCAAGATTTTATTAATTTCTTTAATTTTATTAATTTGATCAACTTTTCAGGTCTGGAAATCATCATTTTAAAATTCCCAGATATTTCCAGGTTTCTCCACATTGGTGTATAAAAAGAGTTGTTTGCAAAACAAGGTTGTTAAGCTCTGAGGTTGTGAAGATATAAATAAATACAGTAAAAATATTGTGAAACATAATAATAATTTAAAATAGCTGTTGCGGCAGCCACGTCGCCAGTCTTCAGTGTTACATGGTCTTTCAGAAATCATACTAATATGCTAATTTGACGCTCAAGAAACATTAATTATTATCAATGTTGAAAACAGTTTTGTTGCCAAATATTTTGTGGAAACCAAGGTTTTTTTTTTCAGGATTCGTTTAAGGTTCAAAAGAACAGCATTTATTTGAAAGAGAAGTCCATTATAAATGTCATCACTGCCACTTTTGAAAAATGTCATGCACCCTTAGTGAACAATATTAATTTCTTAAAAAAAAACAAAACAGACTCCAAACTTTTGAATAGTATTGCCTAGTTTTAGTACCAGAGTCATGAATATATGTTTGGCTGAATGGAAAACTCTCTTTCTAATTCTAACACAGCTTTAAAAACCTGACTGCATCGGAAAGACAGTCTCATCGCTCTTTGTTTAGCAGGCAGCTGCGTTCTCCACTCACCTCTCTGTCACTTAGATAAGACTCTGTAACTGTTTCTGTCGAGGGTAAACATTGTTTGATGGTGTATTTGGAGTGTAATGGAGTTTTCTCAAAAACATTCCTCTACTGATTGACTGTAAAGCCTAATAAAATGCACTTCAGTGTGGCGGAGGTTTGCTGCTGTTGTGGGATCCACATGGCCATGTACCAAGGCTTTTACGAG